AGGATGAGCGATTCCAGAATAGGGACTGGCAGAGAAAACCGGCGCCGTGAGTAGCTGCCAAAGCGACATAGCACCCGACACGACTTTAGTCCTCTTATTCCAACCCTTGCTTTCGCTAAGCCCAATCTCACCCGATACCATCACGTCATTGTTGAATCAAGGACACCGTTCAGGATATTACAGTCACCACAGGGGGTGGAGAGCCTGCTGGTGGTTCCTAGTGTACGGTAACGCATCTACTGGGTAAATTCAACCCAGCGCTAGTTGCAACTATCACAGATTGAGTATTCTAAAGGCCACCTAGGTTAGAGATAATGTAGTACAACGTGGGTGGAGGAAAGAGTGGTCATAGTCTACCGTATTCACAAGGATGGCGGTAAAAACGGTGTAATTCCGATAAAACAGGGGGTTTAGGTTTCAGAGGCGGAGTGATATCAAACTCTTCAAACGGATAGACACCAGTCTTGATCTCAAATGCCACCCCCGGAAGGACAGCCAACCCTACAATTGCAAAGGTTGTTTCCTCTTTAGCATCTTGTTGTGTGTAATTTCTCAAGGGTTCATTCTTTTGTACTATACTTCAGCTCGTATTTTTTTTTTTGACTTGCCATGCTGGACGTCTTAAAAAGATTTATAAAGCATGATCACATCTGGAGTTGCCAACCTCACACAGAGTAGCTGTCGCTAAGGCTGGGTCGAATTAAACTAGTAGATGCGGTATCTGACGCTGATTGTCTGGCAAAAGCAGATTAGTTGGGCTCAATGGAGGTTCTTCATAATCTGGAATGACGACGACTTATGATAAATTGCGTCGAGAGTCTAGAACCCACGATTTAGGGGACGGAGGCGACGGGAGTAGTTTTGAGAGAAACCGGAAAAAAAGTTTCCCGGGAAACTCCTGGTTGGGCCCTTCGTCTATTTTCAAGCACAACGCTAAGTTCAGCACGAAACTTAAAAATTTCTTGCCACCACTATCGTCATTAGTAAGAAATGCAGTTGTTGGTTACTAGAAATTCGCAGGTGTGCACACTTCAGGATACCTGTTATTACGGGTACGCTGAGAACAAATGAGAACTACAGCAGTAACCCAAAGCATGCACCATCTTAGCTGACAAGAGTGGTGGTGATAATTCCTGAATTTCAGGAGTCCAGGAGATAATGGTTACAATCATCTCTCATTAGAGGAGCGCTTTCCGCACTCACTAAAATCACTAAAAGTGCATGAAACTCGGGAACAGACAAAGGGATAGAGCTCCCACCAGACGTATTACGTAATGGTGGAGATTGGAGACCACACCAGCGTAGACTGAGTACTGTGACTGTGTTGCCCACTAAAGCTATGTTCATAAAGCCTGAACTCCCACACAGTTACCAACACCCATCTTCCCTGCATTGAGACGTTGGTAAGTTGCTCCTTGAGGGTTTATCATTCGAATTCTTTTCTTTCGCACACAAATCAAACCCAATCCATCTTCCATTTTCATTTTTATCTTCCCATCGGGTCCACTCCTGCGTTTTGAAGTTTGCAGTCGTATGCACGAGGATCAACGCGGTTAAACTTCCAACCAATACCGCATCACTATGGCAGAAGCTGTTAGTGATGGCACTGATGGCCAGTCAGCTAGTCCAACTCCATCACCTGGGTCTGATACACTGGGAAGGTCTCAAGCCCTAACACCATCGACGGCAGCAACAAGTCCGGGTGAGGTAATGCCTGCAAAACGCTCTGAGACAGCTTCGGCTGTGGCGTCTCGTTTAAACTCCCTTGATATCGCGACTCCTACCGCTTCTTCTACAACCAACCTTGCACAAACAAGTGCCGCCTTTACCGACCTTGTGGAACTCATTCCCACTCAAAACAAACTTAGTTTTGTGGGTGCCGCACATCTTGCTGGCCGAATAGCCACGAAGATTCGTCATTGCGTTGATTCAGGTAGTGGATTCTACGTACACATCAGTGGTGTGTCTGCAGGAATGCTTGATGCTATCGACAATGCCTTCATAGGTCGCGGAATACGTGGCCAGGTCCGATTCACTTACGAAAATGAGCTCGAGTCAATGATCATCAGGTGCATGCCAGGTGCTGCTCATGAGAATGTGAGCCGTAGTTTCATGATCAAACTCGCTCTCAAGATTTGCGCCATTCCTGGCCATTCGGAGTATTCCTATAGGACCGTCGGTAGTACTCGGTTTTGTGTTCCCGGCAAGCGGAGTAAGGAGGGTGATGAGGGGCTGAAACCTGCCGATACTCGGAAGAGTGAAGATGACTGGCCTTCCTTGATGGTAGAGGTTGGCTACTCGCAAACCCTAGTATCCCTGCGTGAGGATGCACACTGGTGGTTAATTGAGTCACGGGGACGGACCAGGATGGTTATTCTGATCCAAGTTACCAAGGATCCCAAATCCATCCGTTTGGAACGCTGGGAATGTTTGCCTGATCAAAGCAAGAAATCAACACGCACAGCTACCTCTAAAACACCTGGCTTTGTCCAATATTTTGAAATTGATGCCACCGGTACTGTTAGCCACGATCAGTCCAATCCGGATCTAGTCATCCCCTATGAGGCGATATTCGACAGGCCCCACGGGGCAGGAGGTGATCTCACCCTATCCCGAGCCGAGTTGTTACAATGGGTCCTGCACATTTTTGATGGCCTGAATTAACTTAAATGGGTAAGTTTGCAAGAAATTGAATGTCACATGTTAATGATTTATCAGCCTGCAGATTGCTAATATCCTCTGGTCCTGTAATTCAGGGCAGGAATAATAGTCACTGGTCGGAGGGCTTCAAATGGGATTGGTTTGGCGAGATGTAGCTAAAAATAAAAAAAATGCATGAGTTTGACTTGTGCTATGCGTTACTCGTTCTTCTACAAGAAGGATATCCATACCGATTTACTATGATGACCCTATCTTGTGCTTCCATTGTACCGTATTAACTTGAATAAGAGCAACACCACTCAGGACGTCTAGGTTTCCCCTCTCGGTAACGCGTGGTTTTATTTTGCTGGTATTTTATCCGGTCCCTGCCAAAATAGGCAAGTCTGACGTCCAGAGACGTGTTGCTCTTATTCAAGTTAATACGGTACTTAGTTCTGTTTTCAAGTGCGGAGTGGAATAGAATAGATGTTTAGACGGAGCGGTACATGATGGTGATGCGCTTGGGACGAGAGAAATGTGTGGCCAAGCTGGTTAGTCTCTTTGTAGTAGGGTGCTGTGAAGTAAGCATAAGGGAATCCAGATTTTTCTACCGTTTAACTTATCTTTTCACGGAAGTCCCACCTACCACTTTACAGCTATTTCCAACTGATAGCCCGGTTTGTACGAAGGGGGTAGGGGTAAGTCTGTCGAACGTGGCAGTGCATGTGGCGATGGCTCTGCCCAGGAAGAGTGGTTGACATAGTTATTTGACCATAACACACTATCGTGAAAATTGCCCAATACTACTCAGGTTGAAGCATATCATGACTCGGAAATGAAAACTACTTGGTTACTAGTTATATTGTATATGTGCCAATCACGGGGCAAGTGTGCCGCCACATGAACCGCCACGTTCTCCAGACTTTACCCTGCCCCATTCGTACTCTGGTCTATCAGAGTTACTGGGTACGCTTTCTAACATAACTCTATCATAGCACTCGAAGGAAACCTCCTCTATTGTCTCCTCGAACTTCATTTTTATCGACATTGCTTGACAGAGACAAACTATCCAGGCGCATGGCGGGTGAAACTTGCTTGCAGTTGTTAATACTAGAACCTCTGGATGCAACATATGAATACAGTTACACAAACGGCCTGCAGGTTTCGACGGACCTAATGATCCACAACCTCATAGACCTTCCGGACGACTCCGAGCTGGAAACAGTTCCCTCCTATCGGAATCCGTACTCAGGAAGGCTATACTAATATGGCGAAAAATCAGCTCTGACAACCTACCTCCGCATCCTAGACCTCCTTCTTGGACGAACCCAACTCATCGGCCACCGGGGAAGTGCGGCCGGGCCCTCAAACTGCGGAAATGTTTGAGGGGAGTGTGAAGCAACCACTATCAACGGATCGACCAAACACTTATCCATACCGTCTCACGCGCCGGAATTGTCCCATGGCTTAGATCGCGGCCGGGGGAGAAAGTGCGCACAAGGAACCCAACGCACATCATGACCAAAGTTTCATCGGTTTGATGGAGGTGGCCGCCAAACCAGGGAAGTGAAGGGTCATCACTCTGTCCCTGAGATTGGGCACTGGGGGAGCTCCTGTAGATGGCGGTAGTAATCGAAGTGGGGTGTACATTGCTGGGATGGCGTGACTGGGCACGGTGATGATCGATATGATGGATATGGTGGTTTATAAGTGGATTAGTGAATGCTGGTGGTTGTATTTGTCCCTCCTCCCGGTTCTCGGCTCCTCTCCCACTTCTCGTAAGTTTCTTATCTTGTTCCTCTCCTTCAACATGCATCGCGCTGCTGATTGGGATTATTTTGTGTTGTATCATATTCGGTTTTCGCCCCCAGTCTCTTTTGTCGTGAAAGGTTCCCTGATGGTGTTTGTTTTGTCTGGAGTTGTTGCCATTTGGGTCCCAACTGGGTCTCGTCATAGAGAATGGCCGCTGGTTGATTTTCATTCATGAGATGAGTATTACTGTTTCTCGTTTCCGTTTTTTTGATCTAGTGGTGTTGTTATGGCTGAATGGAGGGAGTGCGATAGGATAATGTATCGTATTACACCGTATTTTGGCTGCCGTGGGGGTGTATTAACGATCGATAGTTACAGGTAGTCATGGGATGTGGGCTCGGAAGCTTTGAAATCCCACGGCCAGCTGTCGTCCGCCGTGCCGTGTGATTACCGTATTATTGCACAGGGGTATGGAGAGATTAGTTGCAACCAACTTATATAACGTTCCCCCTCCCCTTCCCCCTAGAAAAGGACCCTAAGCTTTTACCAAGGATATCTAAAACAAAGTGGGAACCTTCATCACCACTACCACTTGCCTCGTGAAAATCTTACTCAAACAACAGCCCCTCCTGCTCCTGAGCCGGCACCTACCAAATGCCAATACTCCTAACCTCCTCGACAACCCTCTTACAGGTAATCACCCCCCACCGTCCTCTTTTCAGCACGAAACCCACCCAACGCATTACAAACCAGAAAGCGTTTGCAACATTCGAAAAACATACTCCCCCGTATCCATCATCAGACTCTCCTCTCCTCTCCTCAACTCCATCCCACCCCACTCCACTAACCAAACAGAACTCACCTCTTCCAGTGCCCACCTTTGACCCCCAAGCCGTCTTCAGATCCAAATATACAATAACCGCAATCATAACACGCCTATTTGTCAACCTGTTGTACTCGGCTATCAGCCAGCACCCAGACGTCAATTCTGCGGATCTCTAGCGTTCCCTTATCTGCTGTAAAAGTCAGCCTTGATGCTTAAGTTGCGAATGACATACCGCAGCTTACTCACCGAGCCTCTGGACATGCGAAGGGATCAATGCGCAAAATCCGAGGTAGACCTTAGCATTATTTCTCCCCCCCTACTCCCTCGTAGAGCCGGGCGTCCGCAGCTCAAACTCCTCCATGCGCTGCTATATTACCCTCGTCTATAATCTCGTGGTCCCGCTGCGTGGCAGCGTAGCATCAATCCTGTGTATCGGTACTCATAAACCTTTACCACCCTGGTCTATACTCCCCAAGAGAGAGGGTCACTGTCGACACACGATCGTTCAGCTGGCCATGCCCATCCTCCAAAGCCGCCAGCTTGTGATTTTGAGAAACGTTCTCGTCCTTCAAACCGGCCAAATCAAGGCCCCGGCGATTCCCGACAATGATCTCTCCCCGTACCCCTCTCAACTTGCTGCCCTCCCTCAAGGGCCTGTCCGCCACTTTGGCTTCCGTCTTCCCTCCCTCAGAGGAACCGATCTCGGCTTCGGTAGCTAATCTTGGATCGCACTTGGGGGAATCTTTACCTTCCGGTGAACTCTCCTTGCATTTCGTGGCGAGTTGTCCCTTAGTTCCTTTTGTGCCGAGTTGCGCGGCCGTATATTGCTTCCGAAGGTGTTCCAAAGCGGACATGATTGTTGCTCGAGTGTTGGTCGCCTAGTTGTAAGTTGTCCGTAGCCGGCCGGATCGGCGGGTGGGAAGGACTCCCTGGTTTCCTCCATATAGGGGCGAACCTAGTCCTATTGTTAGCACCTGCCTGAGCCAAGCCCAATCTCACGCCATACCACCACGTGATCATTGTATCGAGGATAGTGTACCGGACTTTTACAGTCACCCACAGGGGCATGAGGAACAGCGGCGGTTGACGAGCTGGGGTATCACTATCAGGGGGTCACATGCTTCGCCCTTTTCAGGTTTTAGTCATTTTCGTGGCGAAGTGAAGCTAGCAAAAATAACAAAAATGGCCAAAACCGCGCACGGGAAAAAAAGGGGCGGGCTGCAGGCACAGTACGAGGACGTGCACAAAACCTATCGGAAAACCAATAATTTGGCCAATCATTGTCATGGGCTATCCGAGGGCAGCCAATTAGGCTGCAAATACCTTTATCGGAAAAAGGTGAGCGGACAGCCGGTCACCTACGTTCCGATAACTTACCCCTCCACCCTCGTACAGCTATCCTTTCTGGAGCCAGTTCTAATGATACTCACCAGCAGTTAACTTGATGTGCGAACCAAATAACTGAATGACTCGGATCAGATCAATAGGCAATGTATCTGTGCATCTTTTCCCGTGAGAACCATCCCGATAATCCCAGCCGGCCAGTGCGCTGTTGCTTGGGCGCGGTTGGGCCAGCTCTCGTGATGTTCACTGGTAGATTGTATGTTGGTATCGAGATTTTCCTACTAGGCGCTGATGACTAGGTTGCTGAGAAAAAGTAGGTCCCCCCTGTTCCAGTACTCGGGGGATGCGTATCTTCGTCGCGGGTGTTGGCTAACCAGGGCTTGACGGCGATACCGCCCCCGCACTCATCCCATAGCCAATGAAGCGGCGAAGACCGCTCCGCAGAAGCCGACTGAAAAGTATTTCGCATGCTCCAACTAATTATCGGAGCTCGTCGCTAACCAGTTTGTCAGTACTGCTGGCTATAGTACACCCCCATGGATTGCTCCCATCGTCTGGTTGGTGGCCCTCTCGATTTTAGTTTGTGGAGCAATGGTTCGCGGGCACTCTTGCGGCTTGATGGTTGGTTATCTATGTTCGTTGCCCACCTCTTCTCCATTGGCCGGACGCTCATAGCACCTTTAGATGCCCGTCACAACTTCTACCTCCACCAACCCTCGGAGCCTATACTGGGTAAGGCCGAGTCCAACTTGGACTTTCTGCTCTAGTATGTATGGTGCAAAGAGCCTAAAGGCGGGTCCGCGGGTGGAACGGCATTTCCGTTGCAACCGATCGCGTTTGTGGTAAGAATTGCAAAGAATTGCTAAGATGAAAATTCATTGACACAAATTTACTGGCTTGAAGGGAAAGATGGAAAACAGAAGATGAAGCAGAAATAGAGTTATATACCTTTCTGTACTGCAATAATAATTTAAAAGAAAAATGATATCTAAAAAGGAGATTTAGTAAAGGGAACACAATGATGACTTTTATATGCAACATTAGTAAATTGAGTAGTTCCATACTGGAATCTGGTATAGTAGTTATGAAGTATATCAGTACTCTTCCATAAGTACATGAGCAGTAAAAGTGAGGTTCCTTTCTCCGCATGATCACTTTAATTTGTCACCCAAAGAGTGCGGATTGTATTTGACGTTGCTGTTCTCTTGTTGTACGTAGTCTGGTTATACCTACTATTGATTCTTAATTTATCATGGCACAGTTATTTACACTTGACAGTATTTTTCAGTCTGTTTCTCTGTAGATTCTATCACTTGTTTCACGCTCCCCAAAACCTTCACTTTTCACTCTTGAACTACTTTTTCATACAACATTTATTAAATAAATAAAAATGTAAGACCTCTTCTCCTTTTGAGAAGCTTTCTCACCTACATTTTGTTTTGAAAATATTTGCTCTTATGATCAACTAGTTCAAGATCACACTTGCCCTGTTTTGGCGACCCGGCTTGTGTCACCTTGCGCCATACGCTTCTACACCTCCCTTGAGAAGAGGAGTTATATGAGCCGCATGGAGCTCCTACCGACCTCCGCCAGCTCTGGAAGCGGGTACAGGCCCCGCGCAGCAACCCCTATCCCCACGAGAAGTGGCTCCGGTTTTACCGCCGCCGGGCCCTGGCAGAGTGCTCAGCTCTTAGGTGGGAGAGCAAGCGATCGTGGTCTGGGGGTGGTGGGGTTGCGGGGCGGGTGAAGTTGCTTTCTATGGAAATAGTCATACTATTATGGTGGCCCTTGTCTGCACGTTTGCGGGAGAAAGCTCATATCATATTAGGGTATGCAGTACTCGGATTGCTGTGACTCAATAATTCGGTATGTTATAGTAATATTATTGTAAAGATGGCAATTATTATTCATTGCAGGGCATGAATTGTGCTGTACCTCTTCGCTAAGTGTATCAAAGCGTATCATAAGTTAATGAACATGATATTATGAAGGTGATCAAGGTGATGGTTCCTGAAGCTTAAAGTTTTGCTCTGCCCTGCTGCCTGTTCCGCGCCAAAACCGACACAAAAAACCCAATTACCGGTACCCGGATGCCAACCCTCCTTCAACACTCCGCTAGCACTCTATAAAAACCAGTGTTCCCAAGCGTCCAGTCCGTCCGTCTTTCGCCTAGGACGGGACGGACGCCGAATTTGAGGCCTTTGCCCGGGACGGACGCCAAATTGGAGTCCGTCCTAACCCATGCCCGGGACGGACGGCCGGGCCCTACAGGTGTCTCATTTGACCCGCTCTTTTTAAATATCATTGGTGTGAAGCCGGTACTTGAGGTCACGAGAGACTTTAATTCAAATGCTAATAACATGATACTTTGACACCAGGTATCAACCGAGGTGATCAATCAACCAAGCTGTGTACTCATATCCGATCCCAGTTCTGAGCAACCTGAACCTGTCCCAGTTTCCTGACCTAATGTTGTTGCCCTCTCCTCCAAATCTCTCAGCCTCTTCTCTACATCTGCCAGTGGCTTCTCCGCAATCAATCCTGCCGTCCGCCATGATTTCATACACTCAATAGCCTACAGGCAATCGGTAGGGCCCCACAGGTGACGCCCGTCCTTACCAATGACGCTAGGGCCCCGCAGGTGCCGGCAGGGCCCTACAGGTGACGCCCGTCCTTACCAATGACGCCAGGGCCCTGCAGGTGACGCCTGTCCTTACCAAGGACGCCAGGGCCCTCCCGGAAGCTTCCGTTTTCAGTAAGACTACAGGGCCCGGCCGTCAACCTGCAGGGCTGGAGTCGGTATCGAAGACGGACGCCATGCCCGGCCGTCCTCCCCCACCCTGCCCGGGATGCCCGGGACTATTGCCCGCCAGGGCCCTGCCGTCTGCTCGGGACGGTTGGGAACACTGATAAAAACTCAAACCCAAATTCATGATATCATGCCTTATCCACCCGGTATAGTTGTGTGCATGCTGTGATCACCCAGGTCATGATAAAGACTCTCCTTTCACAGCTTCCCTCACAATCCTCCATCCCTTCCATGATCTCACAATTGTACAAGACCCCCTTTTCTCAAAACCTGCGCCTCTCGGCCGACGTCCTCGCAATACACTGGGGATAGGTTAGCGGGGTCCAGGCGCTCACGCATGGTGCGGACGAGGGTTTCCTCCCTCCTGCAGGGCAAATCGTCGGCAGGCGGCTGGTCCGGTATAGCTTAGGCGAAGGTAGCAAAGGAGAGCGGTTTTGAATAATTGGCCTCGAGCGGTGAGGTTTGGGTTAGATTAACGGTCCCACCATTAACTGTTGGTCCTCTCCACGTTGTCTCTAACTATGGAGTTTCCCAGGACTGGAGAGTTAGGTCGAAGCTGATCGAAAATGTAGAAGCCCGATCCGCCCCCAGTAACCAACTACCCAATTGCTATACTAACGCGAGTATACACTGTCCTAACTATTGGCAAGCTAACCATGATCCGCTAGATAGTTTCGCCAAATCTGCCGACCACCATTGGAACATACTCAGGCCAGTGAATTCACCGCCGTCTGATGCGGTGCTTTCGCAGGGCACGCTTCTTACGGCATTTGAATGACTCTAAGACGTTCTGTGCCACAATCAAGCTACGTTCCATCTGGTGACAGAGGACATTGCGCTTTCGGTTCTATCGCCACAGAGCGGCCTTAACAAGCTCGGACTTTGATTTGTTTGTCCGTTGCATATTTTTGACGCTGCCCCTCGCGGTGGAGACATTACCCGGATCTTTGTCAAAGAAGGAGGCGGGAGCACAGCGGGCAACAAAGGGGCGGCAGCCCCAGGACTGAGCACTTCCACCGCGAAACTGGCGATCCCCGAGATCGACGAGCTATCCAAGGTGATTCTGAGATGTACGGCTGAAGGGCACCCCGCCTGAATAACAGTACGGAGGTCTTCGGTGAGTCAACTATAGGGCTGGATGAATAGAAGGGAATCTCGAAGGGATTTAACAGAGCCGAGGTGTCACTCAGGCTGCTGTCGCCATTTCTGTCACCCTACGAGTTCGCAGGTCATCATCACACCCACCCAACTTGGCGGGCTTACTAGTAGCTTTGCCGGATGATCCTGCAAGGCACTCGAGACCAATCCAGACAGGCAGAAGCCTGACAGAGCAAGAGTAATGGGTAGACTATCAAGCTTAAATTTCTGTGCATTAAACCTCCTATGCTCTTCAATCGAGCGACAAGGGAGAATATTCGCTCCGTTGGCAAATCTAGTAATAATAGCTGGCCACTATATTCTCCAAACATCTCTCCCGTATGGGGGTTCCAACGGGAGTCTAGACCCGCCCCACCACACTCCTAAACCTTATGGGACCAGGTCTCGACAAAGGAACAGGCGCCTCGGTCCATCCAACCTTGTCATCGCTCTACATTGACCTTGTCCTCAACGCCGGCGGACCCAAAAATCGTGTTCCTCCCAAACTCACGGGAAAGGGCAGTAGCATATATGCTGGAAGAAGGAAGGAAGCCCAGGCGAGCTCGTTCCTCTCACCACTACCGTGGATTAACTCATGGCCAATGCGGCTTCAGGGATTTATCTCCGCCACGGAGGGACTCTTAACAGCATACTGGGGAAGCCGCCGCCTATCCATATCCGCTCTCAGGGGGGAAGGCGGGTAGATCGCCTTGCCATATTTAACATGAATGAGAAGGCAATCACGGCAAGTCCCTTGTGCGTAAGTGCTACCCTGAATGGGGGCTCGATGGGCGGGAGCATACTCCCCCACCTAGCGGGCGCGTGCAGAGCGATTCTAGCGTTTGACGGGATTGTCAGGCCTAAACCGCCAGTCCTTTGAGTTCGCAGGGTCATTGATGTCGAGGAGGGGTTGGAGGGAGAAGCAGTAGCAGACGACGAAGAAATAGCAGAAGGAGAGGAGAGATATGCAGCTTGAATCAGAAAACCAATACAGCCCAATTAAATAACACAACAGAGAAGTCTAGGGCAAAACGCAGTATATCGCATAGCCACCAAACCGCCCGCTTTCCGAAACGCGAGAGGCCAGATACACAAACAGCCCCTCTTCATCTATTGCCAGCACTCGGACAGAATCATGTTCCCCCGCATGCTCCGGGACTCCGGCCTGCCCAAGTAGTTTCCGTACCCCACACCGCACTAGATTATAAACCTTCACACAAACCATCCAACAAACCATCCCAGAAGTACCACAACCTCAACCCATGCCTACCATCACCAGTGCGCCGCTATCTACACCAGCGGGAGTCGCGACCACTGCCCAAGCTCGTCACACTGAACCCACGGCGGAAAACGCCCGCCTCGAAGCGATAGATTTGGATGGCGAAATTATCATTGCGGAGAGAGACGTGTGGGAGAGCAACGATGATGCCGACCAGTCGGTCAGAGGGGATCTAGAGAAGGGGAGGAGAGTGGATGGCGATGAGGGTAACGGGCGAGCTGGTTAGGGGAGGCATTACCAGGCCGCGGATCATTCTCCCGGACAATTGTTTTTCCGCAACAACCTGAGAGCAAACGGATAGAATAATACTGGCACTGAAGCAACCTCGATGCATCAAACATCAAGCACACTACCCTCCCCGCAATCTTCACACACCAACAAAAGAAAATAAGAAATGTCAACACACAAAATAGTCTGCATCGCTCTAATCGGCCGCAACATATCCTCTCCGCATCCATGGCATTCCATCCCATCCCATGCTGTCCCATCCCCCAGCTAACGAACTATTGAAAACCAAAAACCAAAAGAATAAAGTACTTTGTACAGAACTCACTCCCGCACCTCCACACCTTGCCTCAATCTCCCACACCCTCCACATCGAAGGTAAAATACGGATTCATGATGCATGCGAAGGTGGATTGCTTCCAGTCCCGTTTACCGCATGAGCTCAATTACGACAGTGTCTAGGGCCTTCTATAGGGCATAGACGGGGAGCAAGCCGCGTATGGGTGGTTGATGAGAACGGCTGCTAAGAGTGTAGTTGTTGTGCATTTGGAACTGCTGGCGGCCTGGGGGTTCAGGATGGGGATTTTAAAGGGGTGATTTTTGCATCCTTGATGGAGTAGAGTGGAGGGTATAATAATGAAGGGCGGGTGGATTGGCCCTTTGCTTTTTCTTCCTTCTCCCCGGATTTTTTGTTCTTGTTTTGCATTGTTCGCGTAGGTAATGAGAAGGTAGCTTCCTTATTTTCTAAAAAAAGAAAAAACTGCTCTTCTTTCCCAGCATCTTCAGGTACGAACAAAAAAAAATCAGAAATGCCAACACCCAAAGTAGCCCGTATCGTTCTAATCAGCCGCAGCATACCCTGTCGGCCCCCACCGGATCCCATCCCATCCCATCCCATCCCACCTTGTCCCATCCCCACCTATCGAACTATTGAAAACCAAAGAAGAAATTCAGTACTCATCCCGCCATATCCACACCTTCCCTCTGTGAAGTATAAACAGGTAATGGAAGAGATACCGGTTTATTCACTGCTAACTAAGAGCAACAGAGAGTGTGACAAAAGAGTGATGATGAAAAGAAATAACTTCGCATAATGATCAAAGGTGAAAGACGAAGTACCAGACTTCTTATACAAGATAGTGAGGAAGGAAAAATCATCACCATGAAGAAAGGAATAAGGAATGACTGAGAGATGCACCCATGATTCCATAGCTGAAACTATACTAAATCCAACTTGATACATGAGGACCGGGTTTTCCTTCACAACGTGTTTCAATCCCAAGAGTGAAACCTGAATCTATGAAAGTCAAACAAGTGAAAAGTTTTTCCTAACACTAGCAGGTGGTGGTGAGAGCGCCAAAACACTAAGTCCAAAAATAGTGGGTTTTAACACCCTCAATCCCCCACACCCCCCCATCGACGCTCACATACAACTTCCTGATGCACTTGACGCCAGAGATCCCCCTGTCCCTCTTAGCGCCCAAGTACAATTGCATCACCAAATTTGGCCTCCCGCACAGCCCGGATGCCGACCTAGCCGCGCCCGGGTGGCTCAAGAATACGAGTGATAACATTGAGGTCGTAGTGGAGTTGGATCTCCAGGCAGCCTGGGGGTTAACGATAGGGAGTAGAAGGGGATGGATTTCACTTGGTTGGTGCAGTGGAGTGGTCTGGAGGAGGAGCTAACGATGGGTGCTTGGAAGCCAAGTTTTCATACATTACAGATAGTGTAATATACAATACACAGATACTACAAGCCCCATCGATATTACAAGTTGCATTGCATTAAAGAAATGACCAATAAAGGTTCACCACAATCAACATCAACATAGCAGTGAGTTTTTAACTTTTATTGCAAGCAACACAACAGTCAAGGAAAAGAATTGACAGGAAAAGAAAAAAAAATATGTGATTCAAGGAGAAAAGAAGTTGAGTGATAATGGGTGACTATGGTACCACTATTATCATCAGCAAAAATAATAGCTTGGATCCTGTGCATCTAGTGCGTCTGACACACAGGATGCACAGGACGTACAGGATGCAAACCGCGATTCAGGACACAATAGTTGTTGGTGCCAGCAGTGGGTAAGCAACTAAGTACTCGCAGAATTCTCTGGACAACACTGGATGCAGCAGGCATTCTCAGGATGCAAGCAAGTACTACTAAATTTTCAGGATGCAATGCCAGGACTGGACCTTGTAACCTAAGCCCCATATTATGTATATTGTGAAAGTGTCAAAATAAATATTATTTGTATTCATATTGGTTCTATAATACAGAGTACAGAAAGAAAAGCTTCAAGCCCTCCAGTTAGTGCATCATACCTCCTACATCCCAGATAATAGCAACACGCATGTTGGTGCTGGATAGAAGTGCAATATACCATTAGAAGGCAAGTGTCAAGTCGAATGAGGGTGCCAACTATTAGCTGCTGCACTCATAGGATGCCCGAGAGATCTGGTGTCAAAGTCAGCACCACGCCAGAACCCCACACCAACTCCGCTATGGTAAATACCACTTTTATAATATGCTGTAACTCTACCAATATTGGTGCCAGATAGACGTCTCAGGCAGCATTGGAAGGCTGGCATCAGGTAGAATCAGGCCGCTGATTATGAGCTGCTGCACCTACAGGGCACCCAAGAGATCTAATGTCAAAGTCAGCACTGCGCCAGAACCCCGCCAGAACTGTGCCAATGTAGAGACCACTTTCATAACAACCTGTAGCTCTACCGATATTGGTGCCGGGGATAGGTCTGAGGCACCGTTGGAAAGCTGGTGATGCGTGGGATCAGGCCGCTAAGTATGGGCTGCTTTGTCTATAGGGGGCCCGCAGAATCTGGCATCAAATACAGCACTGCGCCAGAGCCCTGCCAGAACTCCACCAATATAAAGACCACTTTTATAACAGGCTGTAGCTTTACCAATATTGGGACTGGAGAGACATCTGAGATACCCTTGGAAGGCTGGCGTCGAGTAGAACCAGGCCCGCGAGTACGAGATACTGTACTAAAAGGATGCCTGAGGGATCTGGCGTCAAAACCAGCACTATGCCAGAGTAAATACTACTTTTATAATAGGCAGTAACTCTACCAATATTGGGGCTGGAGAGACATCTTAGCCACTGTGTAAAAGCTGGCATCGAGGACAATCGGGTAGCCGAGTATGGGCTGCTGCGCCTACAAGGTACCTGTGGGATCTGGTGTCAAACTCAATCCTGTGTGAGAACCCTGCCAGAACTCCACCAGGATAAAGACCACTTTCATGACAGGTAGTAACTCTATCAATATCAGTGCCAGGTAGACGTCCGAGGCAGCGTTGGAAAGCTGGCGTCATGTAGGACCAGGGTCCGAAGTATGTGCTGCCGCACTGAAAGGACACCTGCGAAATCTGACATCAAACTTAGTACTAGGCTTGGGTAAATACTACTGTCGTAACAGGCTGTAACTCTACCAATATTGGCACCAAGTGGAGGTCTGCGGCACTGTTGGAAAGCTGGCTCAAGTAGAACCAGGCCACTGAGTATGAAATATGGGGCCAAAAGGGCGCCCAGGGAATATGGTGCCAAAGTCAGCACTCTGGCAGGGTAAACACCTCTTTCATAATCAATTGTAGGTTCTCCAGTATTGGTGTTGAGTAGACCTTCACTATGCTGTTGGAAAACAGGTGTTGCATAGAATCAGGCCACTAAGTATGAGCTGCTTTACCCATAGGGTGCCTGAGGAATCTGACATCAAAGTCACCACTGCACCAGAACACTATCCGAACTCTACTAGGGTAAACACCACTTTCATAACAGGCAGTAACACTATCAATATTGGCGCCGAGTAGACATATAAGGCACTATTGGCAATCTGGCATCGGATAGAATCAAGCCCTCGAGTATGAGACTCTGCGCCCCAACGATACCTGGGAAATCTGGTGTCAAACTCAGCTATCTACCAGGGTAAATACCACTTTCATAACAGGCTGTAACTCTACCAGTATTGGTGATAAGTAGGCATCTGAGGCACTGTTCAAAGGCTAGCATCGAGCAGAATCTAGCTACCGAGTATGAGACTCTGTCTCCAAAGAACGCCCAAGGGATCCTGTGTCAAACTCAGTACTTAACTAAAACCTCGCTAACTTGGCCAAGTAGGCAAAGTAAACAACTAAGTCCGGAATGCAGGGGAGGAAGTAGGGGGATATAGTAAGGGAGGAGGTGGTATACAGGTTGCTGGTAGGGGAGGAGCTGGTATGGGATGAGCAGGTAACTGGGGAGCTGATAGGTGGGTGGTAAAGGTGAAGTAGCTGGCAGCTGTATTCATCACTCAGAATCTCCGGATAGAAACTACTCCACAGGGCTCATTTGGGACACAATCTGGATGCATCAGACTTCGCATCCCACTACTGGATATACAGAATGCAACCAGACTTGGCCTCCTACTACTGGATGCACAGGACACACTGGATGCAGAATTCTCCCTGCTTGCATTCAGATGTACCACCCATGCCTCTGATGTAAGAATAATTTTTGCTGCTAATGCTTTACAGTTTTCAAGCTCCTGCAGATGCCACTCCAAAAAAAAAGGGGGATTTCGGGTAACTCGTGAAGGGTTTCTTTGCTCATTGCCAGAGGTTTCAAATAGGTGTAGGGTAGGTTGATCAGTGTCAAGAGGTAGTTGTGCATGATGATTGCCTGAGGACTCTCTTATCTTTCTTCCACCTCCGTCAATTAATCCTCCCATGCCATACCCCTCTACACCTTACTCCTAGTCAAAATCTGACAACTCTGATTCCTCCTGCTCCATTCTCCGATGCTTTCTCAACCTTTAAGAAGGCTTTTCGGCCTTGTTTCTCTTCATTTCTGCTTCCTTTTGGACTTTCTCCTTGCCAGCAATTTTTTCTTCATAGGCCTTGTCTAATCCCTTTTTGCAAATTACTTCTGCTTATGTGATAATAGCCCCTGCTCTTGATCCACTAACCTTACACTTTTTCAGCTCATCAGCCTGAGTAATGCG